CATGATTTTTCTAGAATAACTTTTGCTGCTGAATTATCCACTAACCTAGTTTATAATAGTATTTTTTGTCATAGATTATGATTATCTATTTTTTCATTTGTTATTTTTCATTAATATGAAGTTGTCTATATTTAGCAGATTGTGTTTAACACACACAAGAGTGATGATCAGGTCAACACACAGAAGTATAGAAATTCTACATTGATTTAAAAAAAACTGCGCTGGTATCGTATAGAGATGCACCGATTGCAATTTTCTTGGCCGATTCCGATTTCCGATTTTTTGTTAGTGTGATCTGCCGTTTTCATGAATGTATTTTATAACAATACAAAGAGCAATGTGTAACATTTTACCAATTTTGTCCTACACTTAACTTTTATTTGTTCCCCACTAAATAATGTTGTTTCACTAAATGTTTAGTTCAGTTTAATGTTTTTATAAAATTATTGTGCACCCATGATTTTTCTAGAATAACTTTTGCTGCTGAATTATCCACTAACCTAGTTTATAATAGTATTTTTTGTCATAGATTATGATTATCTATTTTTTCATTTGTTATTTTTCATTAATATGAAGTTGTCTATATTTAGCAGATTGTGTTTAACACACACAAGAGTGATGATCAGGTCAACACACAGAAGTATAGAAATTCTACATTGATTTAAAAAAAACTGCTGGTATCGGATCGGATCGGTTCTGAAAAAATGGTATCGTTGCATCTCTAAATGTTACCACTGCATATGTCTGAAAAAAGGCAGCAATAGGCTTGCCGCGATAGACGGTGCTGACGGTGATACCTCACCATCACAACCCTAGGCAGCAATTGATTTATAGTTATTTTCAAAGCTTTCAATGGACTCTCATTAATTAAGAACTTCTTTATTTAGTATTTGTTAGAAACTAACCAAAAATAAAAATAATTTGTTTATAATCTCTGCACAGGACAAACTTTGGTGTTGTTTCCAAACAAAAGGAAATGTATCGGCATCGGTTATCTGCCAAAATTAGTTGAAAAATATCGGACATCTGCAAAAAATTTTAGTTTTTCAGCTATGAAACTTGCAGGATGTTTTAATGGTACAAAGGCCTCTTATATGCCAAAAGATTGAGGCATCTTTGATTTCTCATGTCATGACCCCTTTATAATCACTGCAGTCACAATTGTAATCTTATACAGTATGCATGTTTTCTGCCCCGATGTAATGTTTCTCTAACATAATGGTGTGTTCTGAATAAATTGGTGCAAGTTGATTAATATGAAGTTATTTATTCTTTAAACACGTTTTATGTATTCCCGAAATCACTGGCTTCCTCTTTTTGTTTGATATTAAGTATATTGACTTTAGTATGTCTCTTATCTTCTAGGTCCACCTCAGGTGACACGGTTCAGTTTGTCGAGCAGTCGCTGGACACTAATCTTCTGAATAATTCTGTTCGTCTGCATATCCCAAACTGCCTCTTGCTGCCCGGAGGAGTTTGCATACAAGAGACCCTTAACAATGTCATTATTCTGATCGTCACCAGCCAGTCGGTTCATCGCCTGGTGCTGCCGCACCCCACCCGCATGTACCGCAGTGTGAGTGTCTGGATCTTTGCTTTCTTAGGCAGTTCCTGACTGCTACTAGCAGTGTAACAGTACACGGATTTGCACTAATAATATTCGGTACGGGTCTTTCGGTTCAGTATGCATGTACTGCATTGTTTTAACCACTGCACGAGTGGAACGTCATTGGAAACTTCCAGTTTTATATATTGTTACTTTTGATAAGAAACAAAGTAGAGGTTGACCGATATGGGTTTTTTCACTGGCCGATGCCGATATTTAGAAATCATGGTAGCTGATGGGTGCTATATGATGCCGATTTTTTTTGGCCGATTTTCCTTCATCTCATAAAAGTGAGTTTGAGTAAATGATTATTGCAGGGTACAAAATAGTAATAATAGTAGTAGTAATAATACGTGGTTCAAAACTTAAGCACCTTCTCAAAACAGTTCTGAAGCATGCTTTTTGTTTATGTTTGCTGACAGACACCAGTGTTTCTCACAGACTTGCAAATGCAAATTAATTCTCTGCCAGCAGGAGGCGCTGTTGGAGCGGGAGATATAACGGTTTCCCTGGTAACGGCTGTAATCAAATAAGCACTGCGCTCACAAACGCTACTTTATCAGGCATTACAGGAAAGACAAAATGAAAATGACACCGAAGCTTTTCTGAAGTCAGTCGGTTCTTTTCAAAGATACATTCATATAGAAACACCAGCGCTGCATTTTAATTTTGAAACGTGCAGTGATCAGTTTATTACTAGTAGGGTAAAACGTAATTACGCTTTCGAAATGGTCTGTTTTGCCCTGCCATCATTAGCTGAAGCTGTGTGTGAACAAGAAGCGGCTGCAGAGTGTGAGCTGCTCCGTCTCTCACGCAGCCAGAGAGAGATTCTCCGGTGTTCCGCAACAACGCTTAGCTGTCCGCAGATGCTCCTGCCTATAAATCGGCCTAATTTGCAGTACAATCGGCCGATGCTTATTAATTTACAAATGCCAAAAATCGGCCGGCCAATCAATCGGTCGACCTCTAAAACAAAGTCTCATCTTTCAAATTATGTCAATTTTTTCAGGAAATTCAAACAATAGATACTAGTGCTGTCAAACGATTAATTGCGATTAATCGCATCCAAAAGAAAAGTTTTTTGTTTATATAATATGTGACCCTGGACCACAGAACCAGTCATAAGGGTAAATTTTTTGAAATTGAGATTTATACATCATCTCAAAGCTGAATAAATAAGCTTTTTATTGATGTATGGTTTGTTAGGATGGGACAATAATTGAGAAAATAAAGTTGTTAAAATTAAGTTCTTAGAAATGCATATTACTAATCAAAAATTAAGTTTTAATTTTTAATATGTAGGAAATTTACAAAATATCTTCATGGAACATGATCTTTACTTAATATCCTAATGATTTTTGATATAAAAGAAAAATCAATAATTTTGACCCATACAATGTATTGTTGGCTATTACAAATATACCCCAGCGACTTAAGACTGCTTTTGTGGTTCAGGGTCACATATGTGTGTGTACTGTGTATATTTATTATGTATATATAAATACACACACATACAGTATATATTTTGAAAATATTTAAATGTATGTACATGTATATATTTATATTAATATAATTTATATTATATATAAATCTATTTAATATCATATTTATAATCAGAATAATATTATATTATATATAATATATAATAATATTAATATTATTATTTTTTTATTTGAGTGTTGATTATTATATGTAAAAATAAATAGTAATTAAAGTTAAGTTTGGGCTCTGTTGTTAATTGTAACCTTATAGTAATGTAAAAAGGCTCCCTATAGTTTAGAGCAGAAGCTGAGGTAGATTTTTATAACTAAGAACATTTTAATTATAATTGAATTAATTTAAAGAAAGAGCAATTTGTAAAGTAAACCATAGTTAAATTTAAAAAAAGCAATTTATGTTTAGTTTTTTCCTCCTGCTGTGCCAAAACCATACCGAACCATAACGTCAAAACCGAGGTACGTACTGAACCGTCATGTTTGTGTACCGTTACACCCCTAATTTAAAATCAAAAATTTTTTAATAGGATAGCAAAAAATATTGTCCACTCCCATCCACTCACCCGCCCAAAATAAATGAATAAATATTTATAATAAAACTAATAATCTCCCCCACACTCATACCTAGGACATGATTTAAAAGGTGTGTCATTATATCTTCTAAGTGACTGGACAATTTTTGCCTGGCAGATAATAAAGATCACATTTACTCACATTAAAGGAGAGATGTGACTCATAGAGACCAGAATATCACATGAGGGTGGATTTTATTGACTTAGGCCAGTAAGTAACCACCCACAACACCCTAGCATTTCGGAGGCGACTTGTGCACGAGCAAGCACCACTCACTCATTTTTAGGAAATGTAAAATCTAGTTTTATGTTACTTTTGGCCTTTCGGGAATCAAAAAGTCAAGTTGAACTTGCTTCGCCCACACGAACGTGTGTAGGAGCATGTGCGCTAACAGCTAGGTCACAGCTCTGACACTTTCAGTTCTTTATTCATAAGATTTCAGATCTTGTAGTTGGCAAAAAATCATAAATAAATGTAAAAGGCATAAGTAAATGAATTTTTTATTTAAAAGGCATTCAGAAGAGTTTTCCAACAGATCAGTTATTCCTAGCATAGCTGGATGCTCGTGTAAGCTGTTAGCGCAGCGCTAATGGGGGTTTCTTTAGATTCCACATGCACTCAGTTCATGAGCGGTTTGATCAAGAGCAAATCGACCGGCATTGTGAATTCACAGTGCGTTTGTGACCTTTATTCAGCTGGGAACTTTATCCTCTTCCATTATACGAACATAAGAAGAGTATCTCTGTCTTTTTAGTTCAAGCCATTACTGGAGATTGCACGCTAACGTGCTCTGTGTGTGTGTGTGTGTGTGTGTGTGTGTGTATCCTATGGGAAAGGATAGAGACAAAACTAAATGTGAATGAATGAGGGCAGCCAGGAGAGAAGGAGGAGAAGAGAATGATGAGAGATTTCAGGAGCTGAAAATAGTTGCGTCTGTGCAAAAAAAAAAAAAAAAGC